GGACATGGATTCAAGACTGGTAACGTTACGATCCCCATAGTCGTAAAATTCACCTTTTAATTTATGCCATGAGTCGTTGAATTTACAAGGAAAGAGGTAGCTGAAAGCCACGTCGCGCTGAGTTTACCGTGGAATTATTTATCGAGTGGATATTTTCACTGGCACGTTGAAATTCACCTGGTACTTTTTTATCACCAGTGGTAGTACGAAAATTTCACGTTTAGATTTTAATATTCACCGCTGTTGACGTGTAAAAATCATCTTCACTGCACTGTAAATTACTTTCACCTCCTTCGTACCACTTAGTGGCCTCTTTGTACTCAGTGGCTTCCTCCTTTATCTCTCGATTATTTACGTTATGAGATACGATGATCTATCGATCAATCTATGAGGGGCAGTGTGCACTCCAGTCGAGGCACACCGACGGTGCACGTCGGGATCATTCGCCAACGTGAATCGTACAATTTTAATGCGTATCCGAGTTGCACTTAATGACTGCGATCACCATGAAAGATTGAAGGAACAACTCACTCGGAGAGTTATCGCCAGATAGCCAGCCAACCCGAGGTGTATTCCTCTCCGGTTAAAGCAGAATGAATATATTGGGTATTCAAGCTGTATATCTGCCCACTGGCCAATTGATTCCTTAATTAAACGCAAATTTCAAATTTATTCACTTCTCTATCTCCGATCAATCTCTACTGACATCATAATGTACAATTCTCTGTCGCTCGTATGATCCCATCAAGAAAAACTTCAAGCCATTACCGGAATAAACGAACGGCATCAAAATGAGCGTCGACTTGCCACTCAGGTGTTCATACCGAGAAAAAAATAAAAACCAACAGGTGACTGAATTTTTGATGCACCCATCATTCCACTGGGATAAATCCGGGGTGTTTATCATTCAAAAACCATTTCACTCAGATTTTTATGGAACACTCTAATTTCTTTCAATTATACAAATTGACATAATTTCCGTAATACCAATAAAATTATTTGGTTACCACAAAAATTATTTGGAAACGCCGAAAATTCACGGAAATCGGTCATAAACCGGAGAATTAATGAAAACTGCTGGCGTATTATAAAACCATGCCTCTTCATGGAATTACGGATACATCCATGACAAAACACATTGAGGTCTTCAATCGTAATTAATTCATCATGCACTTGGAGGATATGGGGTGACCGGTAACTGCTTACGAGAGAGTTACTGCCAATTTGTCAAGTGGAGGAGCGATTTAGCGCGGCACTTTGTCCCGACAAACGAGAATTCATTGTTAGCCAGTATTATTACCTCTGTCGCAATTCCAAAGGCTCATTTACTTCATTCAAAGGAGATTTGACTGGCTTTAATCCCGATAAACGATATATCTCGTGCGTCGATATGTATCTTGTTAAACGATAAATTCTCCGACGACGCAGTAGTAATATCGAGCGTTCCATCATCCGTACCTCCCCCTGAACACTATTTTTCCCCTTCCGTCCCTCCGGATCTCTACCTGCAGGTTCTTGCTTCTCCGGTTATATATGCGATATGGTATCTCGATATCCCTCAACGATGCATTCCGATCCGTCCTTAAACCGGTTAAACCTCTAGAAAATATCCCAGTTTTCAGGTTAAATCCATCGCGAAATTGAAACACGAAGCCACGGGCTCTGAGTTGCCATTAATACTCACATGTGAGACTCAGCGATGCACTTCCTGAATCGGAAATGTCAAATAATTCATTGCACGTTTCGAACGGTCAGCCTCGTTAACAACGTGAGTCTCAACGAGAAAAATCGGACAAAAAGGCCAGAAAGACGAGAACAAAACGCTCTCGTCTGGAATACTGTTAGAATTTCTTTTTCAATTTCTCTCAGATCACCTTGTGAATTTTCGAATCCAATTTTCTTATCACTTCATATTTATCCCTCGATTCCACTACGATACCTTCGCCCGACTTGAGTGAACGCATTATTTTCTGAGAGTAACATAACTTCCCTTCTCTCTCTCTCTCTCTTCAATTGTCAAGAAATGGGAAGAAATTCCCAAGAATTTTTTCCCATTGTACTGTTAACCCAGAAATAATTTCCAGCATTGAATAAAACTTGTCGGCGATATTAGGAATACAGACAGCTCAGCTGTTCCTTCTCAATAAAGATAATAATAAAATAAAGCTGCCGGAGTCGAGAAATTTGACGTGTAACAAACGCCTTGAGATCTTATCCCCGAGTATATGGGGTGGCATTCGGCTAAAGTGTATCAGACCGATATACATCAGAGTCTCGTACGACTCGGTTCACGCTCTGTTCGTTTGACTAGCGTACATAACGTTTCACCGTCTGTTATATTGTGAGCAAAGACGTGGCCATAGTGAGAGAAATAATCCAGGAAGTCCTTCTCACTTCTAGGAGAGTCCGGAGGGGCCAGGGAACGCTCTCTCGGCCGATGTGCTAAAGCATATAGTCAACGATCTCTTTACGCGCAGGCAATTTTTACGACGAAGCCACCCGGCCGGCCCGAGACGTCACGCGACGTGACGAGGAGAAAAAAAAATATTTAAAAAAATAAAAAAAATACATATATCCACACACTGCAAGCGTGTGCACTATCGACACTGCTAATTTTGGCCTCCAATCTCAAATCGCAGATCGACGCCGTTCGCGAGGTTAGACCACCGGTTGGGAAAAAAAAAGGAGAATAAAAAGACGGTGGAGTCAGATGAACCGATTTCCCGGTAGACGCGAATCAGAGAGGGAAAAACAATGGGTCGAATTAAAATAAAGTCATTTCCTTCATGTATGTTTGTTGATTTCAAGTCCCGAGAGATGTACAGATGACAAGGGATACTCTTTCCTCACGCGATCCCCTCTGTAATAACCGTCGAGACATCTTCTTTCTCTTTTTATCAATTTTTTCTTTCAAGTTTACCAGATCGCACATGCAAACCTTCGAGATAAGACGCTTACGGTCATAACCTATCGTGACAGGATGTCAAATTCAAGGGGCAAGGGTGCCGGAGTCATATGTAAACATTTGGCTGGCAGTAAGAAGCAGTGGGAATCGGTAAGAAGTTGGAACAAGTGCAGGAAATGCGAGAGGTTAGGATTGTCGAAAAGTTCTCGTTCGATTCCTGGAAAATACGCATGCGCATGGGAACACGTGACGGGGCGCGTGCGTGCAAAACAGTATATCAAAGATGTCGCTTTGCTATCTCTTCAAGTCTTGTGCCATACAAGCATTTCCCTCCCTTGACTCTCCATCGCTTCTTGTTTGCCGTACCCAATCTTTATCTCTTCACCGTCTCTCTCTACCTCTCCGTGTCTTCATTACTGCAAGCCTAAGACCGGCTTCTTATCTAGTCTCCCGATCTATCTGGTATACATACGATACGCTAATGTAATTTTAGCTCCATCCAGCCAGCCTGAGCATTTTATTTTCGAACCTCTCCATCTGCCTGTGAAAATCGTCAACCGCCCGAAACGCAGTTGAGACTTTACTATTTGCGACTTATTTCGGTGGGTTTTGCCGGTTGGAGGTTAACGTTGGGAGATTTTTCCGGGCAACTCGCTGGCAATATGGGCAATCATTCAATGTCAGGTTTGAGTTTATGCCAGTTTAGCAAACATGAAACGAAAATTCACGTGGTAACAATCGAATGCGAGCAAAAGAGCCATTTCTTACGAGGAACACGTGCTCACAGAGCCCAAATAGTTCAAAGATATTCAAGCTCTTTGGAAATATTTTCATTATCGAAGATTTCAGAATCTTTAGACGATTCTATCATGTAATATCTTTCATTCCGTGTCTTGGGATTAGGTAAAAAATAATTGATGTTAGTGAAGAGCTTGAAATAAATTTGTATAGTTAACCTGAGGGTCGGAAAACCCGACCACCAGCCTCTGCGGAAAAATCCACTTGTGCTGGTGATATTGAGTCTTAAAACGGTGACGCTATAGCCGAACGGTTTTCACAGTTGAGACAATGGCCTCTAATCTGTCCTTGCGATCGGTTTTGGGGTCGAGGATTTGAATTTCCTGGAAGTATCAGCACTTGTACGGACACACAAAGAGTGTTTAGAGTCACTTAAGTCGCATTTTAAATAGAAACAAATTCTCTCACAATCCGGTGGCAGTAGACCGGGATTTAGTGGCAGGAGACTTTGAATTTTTCTTCCCGTAAATTGCCGCACACAGTGGCGGGATCTTGCAAAACGCATACCTCCAGGTGGAATGAAAAAAAGGTTGAGGGTTTGTTGGGTAGCAGTCGCCCCACGAACTAATGGTCACGACTCGGCCATTTACCTCCGGCGAAGCGTCGATTCACGATAAGTAAATCACCGTCGATCTACATTTCATCACGAGACCAGTAATACCCACGGAGAACTTCTCGAGTGGCTCTCCTTGGCTCTCTAATGCATCAAAAATATACCAAACAGCTTCTGGTGGATCCCTCAGATCGTACCACATTGCACTGCAAAGACCCCAATAAACTCGCCAATTTAAATTGAAGAGCCTCCCGCGGTTTCTCCACTTGATATTCAAACTCGTAACATCGATTACTAGTGGAAGGTCGTTCAAGGTTTTGGATGGCTGACGGTAATCGCTCTTGGGTTTCGCTTTCGTAAATCACGAGGACAAGACTCGAACGAGTGTTACGCTTCAATGCCGAATCGCTCTCTCATCCGGAAAGTGTTACTCTGGCCACTATTCTTCCCCCTTTTTGCTTTACCCGAGTACAAAAATACCCCGACGAATCGCCCAGAGCCATGTTAAATGGGTCAGTATCGTATTTGCTCTTCGAGTGGCGCGAAATTAGGAAAGATTGTTTCACCAACAAGAGATCGAAGAGAGCGTGTCACGTCAATGTCGATTGACGAGAGTAATTTATGAAAATAAGTAATAGATTGGAAAATTGTTTTAGTCTAATTTAGTCTATAGTTGAAAATTTCTGAGGAGCCCTTGAAAAATCATGAGGAAAGAGAGAATTGAGATGGCCATGGAGGACTTACTTGTAGTAATCCTTTTTGCAGTAGATGTTGCCGTCCCTGCTGAAGCAGGTGACCTCGCCGTCGAGGCCCTGACGACAGTGGGAGCACTGCAGGCAGGCGGCATGCCACCTTCTGTCCACCGCCTGCAGATAAAACCTGTCAGATATTCTGAGACCACATCCAGCGCACACGACCCCTGGCACATCATCAGCCTGCGACGGTGGAGTCGGTGGTGGTTCCAATTTTGGAATAGCATGTATATCATCGCCACGATGATCCTGCTGATTCGTCTGGTGTTGCACCTGCGACTGATGATTGTGCAACTGCTGATTGTGATGACACTGTTGATTTGTCTGAGGTGGTATACTCAGATCACTGGCATTATCGTAGCTATTTCGATAATCACCACCTGTTTTGTGACACCAATCTGATTTTCCGTTATGAGGAAGGTGCTTTTGGTGGAGTTTTATTTTCTGGGTTACGATGGATTTAGAGAATGAAAATGAGACTTACCGGGCGATCCGTAGTCTCGAGAGTCGTAGGGGGTTGTTGAGCCGTCGTAACAATTATTATTTGTACCGCAGTGGGTTTGATGCAGCGGTGTACGATGGACACCGTGGTGGGCAGCAGGTGGGCTACAGGGTAGAGTTGTAGGTCTTGCGGCATCACCCATCGACGCCGGGAGACATGGACTCAGGTCTCTCGTTTGATCAACTCCAGGACCCCCTGCGCTCCCTGGCCCACCACCTTGACAGCCCAAAGCCAAGCCGCTTCCACGCTCCTGCGAGCCGGGCGGCTGCTGAAACAAATCCATTCGGTGAAATTTTTCCTCACCACTAAGGGTGATCATCCCAAATATTCAACGGAGTATTGAATTATGTGACACTCAATGCAATGCAGTGGTCAATCTCTCTAAACGGATTACAGTCAAGTTGTATTTCCATACTTGTCTCTGGAAGGGAGACAGAGGGACGATCCGCAGGGCAATGCAGAAGCAAAAACGTCCTAACCTGATCAGACCAGCATTGTTTTTTTATCCTTTTCCGATAAATAACCATTAATTAATTGCCCATCCCAAAAGGTATAACTTTAATCATCTCTACGCTCTACTCCAGATTATATCAGTTCATTTTCCAACGATGAAAAATCGTCTTGCGATCGATACCAATGTCAGGGAACGGTAAATAACCTGTCATAATTAAGCTGAAGTATCTTAATATCAGAATATAAAATAAATCGTGAAAATGAAGGAAATCAGAAAAATCGATAAAGTACCTTGAAAATGGTACCACCCGGGAAAATTAGATTCGACAGATTCTTCTCGGCTATTTTTCCCGTGTCATGGCAAATGTACGTAAATACATGCGAATGAGAAATGGTGGATCTACGATGGGGAGGAGGGGGAGAAGGAGGAGGAGGACGAGGAGGTGGTATGGGGTATAGTCAAAAGGAGGAGGTTGAAAGAATGGCCGAGGCGAGGAGAAGTGACGGTGGGTTACACCGGGTGACAGCCGTACGCCAGTAGACGCTGATGGATGTCGCAAGCCTGAGCGCATGCGCGATCACCCTATAAGGTGCCTCAACCGCCGGCCAATCCGGGACTCACCACCGTGTGTTTCAACTGTCAGCGCACACGGCGCGCGGCTTCTCTCGGTGCACCGCGACATAAATTATCGTTTCACTCTTTTATCCTCCTGCCCCCTCAACCCCCTCAGCCCCCAGCCCATCGCGGCTTTTGGTTGCTCCTCTAACTCCCTTTGAAGGTCCTCCTATCTGGAAGAGTATCCGCGCTACTAGCCGCGAATACTCTGCGGAATCAGCGGAGGCCCTCCGCCATGGAAAACGCTGCACTTTACGACGCCAGATACCGGTATTTACTGCGATGCTGGAGGGGGAGAATAGGAGATCCGCGGTGCGTTTGCGAATTCAAGGAGTTATTATGGCTGGACTAGGGTCGTAAAGAGGATTTTCTTGGGGGAAGTACAGGATCCCTCGTCGGGATAATGATGAGTCTCGGGGGCTGATCTAGAATTTTTGGAGGAAAGCCACGTTTTTTTTTTTTTATAATTTTTTTCTTTTTGCAGCTGTAGGAGAATTTTATTATGATCTCTGGGGATATGGCGATATGTGTGGAGTTGATAGTTGCAATTATGATTGCTGAGAAAAATCGATTTTGATCGGGAAATCGGTCGAATATTGGCACAGGTTTTCCGGAGCTTTTTAAATTCGGTGTTGTACAGATTATTTTCAATTAGAATATGAATTTAATTTTTATCTGTTAATCTTATCACAACGGTAAACTTTTTTATTCTAAGTGCACCGCTGCACTTTCACTCGAACACTCATCCAAGAGATCCACCACTCCCATGGCCACACAGCTGCGTTTTTCATTTTTTCGCAAAAAGTGAAGTAAATAACGAGAAGGCGAAACGACGCGAAAACCCACCCAATGGCGTGTGGATACAAGGCACGAAAGTTATACGGCGGTGGTAAAGGAAAGAATGCAGTCTGAAATGTCGCTCAGGGAGGCAGTTTAACCGGGGAAGAGACGACTAAAGGGCCCTCCGATTGTCCAAGATGGAGATGGACTTCCGTTTTTCATTAGAGACTGCGAATGTGTGGAAATGGCCCCGACTTATCCGGTTTTTCCGCACCTTTCTGGAAATTGCACGCAGAAATTCAAGAGAAAATTCCTGAAATACTCAATAACACGCGATTTACATGAAATTTCAACATCAAAGAACACTATTTCCATGAACTCTCCACTTTCCAAAATAAACGGGACAAATTTAATGAACGACTTGATCTTCACTGGAATTAAAACCCCAAATCTGAAAGATCAATTTTCAGTCTGAAAATTCGGGAAAAATCTTGATTTTTGACAGCTTTGATGAATTTTTTTTTTCAAACTCTGTGTAAATGTTTTATGTACCGAATAAAATTTGACGATTTTTGAGGAAAAAATGAGGGAGCCTTTTCAACGAATAGATTTTTGTCGGTGTGCATTCTACAGACGCAAGGATTTTAGGAAACGACTTGTGCTGTTCCGCGGCGATAACAACCGCGACCTCGTGGATATGGTGACCATGGATTTTGCGTGGGCGGCAGTTAACTGAGAGGACTTTCGATAGCTCGCTATCTCACTCCCCAACGATGGAGTGGCCACTGTTTTTCCCCCCGTTGACTCGTTTCATGGTCCAATATGCAAATGCAAATAAAACTTGAAGAAAAAAAAAAATAAAGAACAAGAGGATGAGGAAATCAGGTTTATGGAGAAATGGCGATAAGTCAATAAAGAAGTGGTTCATTGGTAAAAATTGAAATGTCTGTCTCGAGCAGATGAAGAGAGTATAGTTTAACGTGATAAGGGGGTATGGGGTCAGCACGGTCTAGGTTATCGTGAGTGAATGGTGGCCACGACTTTGTATGAGTCCATTTAGCGAAGTGGGTTATTTGAGAATTGGCCGATAGTTTGGCACATCTTGATATTTTCGTTTTGTCGTTCAAAGGAGTCTTGGAAGCGGTTTCGTTAGTCTCGGTGCAGCGGACAGGCTACGATGCATGAGGAGATCTCGTTGTCTCATTTTGCGTGGACAATAAATTACGAGTCTCGACACACGACGCGTCATACACCGAAGTGGAGGGACTATCGTCGCCAGACGTTGCCCCACGGAGAAAGCCAGCGGGAATTCGGTGGAGAGAGGGGAATTAAATGAAGAGGAGTCGATTCTGTTATCTCCACTGGCTGCGGCTAAAATAATTATCTCACTCGTGTCAGATGTTTACGAAAGTGAATTTACGAGACTAATAGACGCCGGTTAGCTGACAGCATCCGTGAGACGATGCGTATTGTCGTGCCGCTGGTATTTTTAACATCGGGAGGAAAAGTGATCTTAAGGATATCCGATTACAAGACTGGAAAGAATTGAAATTTCGTCTGTTTCGAATCACAAAAAATACATGAAAATTCACATTTTTCAACCGTACCAGACAAATACTTTACCCAAAATAGCAAGTAGAAAAAATTGATTTGATGATTTTGAATAAAGATTTTCTACGTTAAAAAATCATTCTAGAAATTCTCAAGTAAATGTATCCCGAGGGAGTAATACGGATCTACGGTGCGAGTTCTTTGCGTTATAATCATGACGCCTTCACAGGCGGCTGCCCAAGAAGTTTAAAGGGCTGTTTGAAGGCCCAGTGTTGGGTCAAACGGAATTAAAAATAACCCAAGGAATTTCAGCTAATTATGCAATGGTCTCATCTGACCGGGCTAATTTAATGCATATGAAAATGCATGAAGTGAGAAAGAAAAATGAAATCCGGAAGGTGTACGGTGATAGATGATGGGTTATGAGTCTTTGGTTTTTTCAAAAGTTCACTTGGCGGTGTGGAGGCTCGCTTCTGTGGGCATCAGCAGGATGTAACGCTCTGCGCATTCAAATGATTGCCGCTAAATAACACCTTTACACGCCCCTGATTGTGAATCGAGGGGTTGCAACAAGGTAAGAAAAATGGTACTTCATTCACCAGCATTTGAATTATTCCCCATGGATTAGAGGATTGTTGAGTTTGTAATTAACATTATGAATATTTCAATCTAAAGTGTGAATGAATTGTGTTAACTAGATTCTGATTAATCTGCGCAAGACGACGCCACTCCACGTGTATCCGAGGGCATTCAGTGTGTTTGTCAATTAAAAAATATGAGTAATCCATTTTTTAATTCAACCGAATAATTTTTCGCAAGAAAATTACCCCGCCTGCTTAATCTGGTAAATAAATTTATCTGTATCCGCGTTGATTTGTCAGTTTAGATTTATTTATTTTTCTTTGACGGTTGATCGATTGATTTATGTTAATTGCAAATGGTACCTAATTAATGGCCGAATTTTCGTGCAATGTAAATCGAGGAGTATGAACTGCACTGGTCAATTACAAAATATGTGCATTGTGGGTTTCACTCGAAGAGATCATTCGCGGAAGACGGTGAGATAACAACCCAACGTACCTAATAAATAGATCCTCGAGAAATATCTCTGAATGTGAGCAAAACAGTGAAATTCTTGCAAAGACCTTTTTTGCAGATTTCATTCCACTCTACAAAAGCGGTTCTGAAAAAAATTTCGTCTTCCTCATAGATTCACAGCTATTCCTCGAAACCTCGACAATGGAACAATTCGAATTGTTTCCATTTACCTCAGAGATACTGAAATATATTTTCCATAAGGACGCTACGGTAATTCTTGATCCGGTGAATCAATGTCTTTTTATCGGTGGCTGTTTATCATTTGAAATCCATTAATTTTCCTTTGATGCTTGAACGATTCATTTATGCTAATTACAAATGTACCCGGAGATATCTAATTAATCGTCGAATTGGCATAATGTTAAATCTCGTGTTGTTACGCGCTGAATGGTAAAGTTTGCGATGCAAAGTAATCACTTTTGTCCCTGGTAATAGCAGTGAATACACAGCGGTTTGTGTGTTCACTCCGCCCGTTGTCGTGCCCCTCGAGATAAACCAATCGTCGGCCGCGAACTCGCTCCACCGAGACTGAGACAACGATTGTCGCTGGCAATGCAAATGGACTTTACTCGATGCGTTTAATCGCGTGCACTACCCCCCTGCAACTTCAATAAACATTTTCACTCGGCGATTGGCCCGATAACGACCGCTCGGTACAATTTTCAGCTCGTCATTTCCACATTTCACGGTGTGATTGTCCCTTGGAATTTGTTTGAGGGGCTGTGAGGTCTCACAGACTCGCTGTTTACTCGAAATGAGATATTGAGATAGACACGATATCGGTGACACGCAACATCGACCGACAAATTGGTACTTGCGCAAGATACTAATTGAAATATTAAATCTGACGTGAATATTTTTTTACCCACCACTCCGGGGACTACGGGGTTGAGAAATTTTCGAGTCATTTTCCGGATATTTCTGGTGAGCAATATTTTCATGGAATTTTTGAAGGAGTTATGGGAATTAAATTTACACCGCTCAACATGGAAATTATGATGGAAAAGTCCGGTATTAATTCGGGAATAATCCACGCTCCAGAAAATCTACCACGAATTTTTTTGCGATGAATTTGGAGGACTTGTTTGAAAAATTCAGTAAAAATTTTGGACAATGTCAGCGAACCTACTAGAAGAGCCACGGAAATATTGAATATTGTATCACCTGATATTTTTTTATTTCAAAAAAGGTGCAGGGAACAGGTTTGATCGTCCACTTGGGACTCCCGCGGGCAGGTGAACGCCGTCCAATTCAGGCTGTTTCAGTTGGAAAATAAAAAATAAAAGACATAGAGGAGAAAAATAAAAGTCCTGTGTCAGCTGGAAGCACGAGAGAGCGCAGTTTTTCACCGTAACATATTTTTTTTTTCCGATCGTGTAGATCGGGGGAGTAGAGAGGGTCGAGCCCCTCGTTGAAGAGCCATTGGCGCATGCGGAGGAATTTATTTGAAAAAAATACACGTCCCAGTCAAAACAAAAGTTGGGATATCCCCTTTCCCCCTCCCCCCGAAAAAAAACCCCCGCAATGTAGTAATTTCGATGATAAATAATCACCAGAGAGGGGAGAGCAAATGATTCAAGTGACAGATGTACAAAGTACAAATTCCACTGGTCGCAACCGGCAAAAACAAGTTATTCTTATTGTGGTAATCCAAAAAAATTATAACTCTACAAGTTTTTCTCAATTGCGATAAATGGTTATCGCAGGGGGGAGACGAGCCCATTGAGAATCTCCTTCATAATTGGTGTTTCAGCCGCTTACGACACAAATTTCATCGTGTGACGTAGTCCAACATTATCGGTACGTGAAATGAGGAAAGAAATTATTCCGCCCCCAGTGGAATAATAATCTAAAAAATATTTATCATTTATTTCAGAATCAAGATTCTCATATCGTTCCGTATCATCCCGCGAGTCCTCAAATCCAATTTTTATTACTGCGTCTGGTTAAAAAAATTAATGAAAATAATAAACCGGTTCCTGTGCAATAATTTTACCCCCCTGTCAACGCTACCGTTCACCTGAGAACTCCTCGTAAAATATCGCTAGAAAAATTAACGATGTAGAGAAACTGAGGAAGAGACAGCAAAAATTCAAGCATTAAAATAAAAATTGGCGAAAAATTGAATAATTATGGATGCAGTTAAATGGATAGTGCGCGAGATGACTCGGGAATGGGTCTCACTTTCCCGAATAATTGCACAATGTAATCACGTAATAGTCATGTAGAGGGGTTTTCCCACATATGCCACTCACTCTTGCAAGAATAAGAGACATGAAAAAAAATATACACATACGCGAGGGGCATATTCTCACGTCATTCGTGAATTGTTGCTTTTTGTTTGCCACTTTTTGCGGGCAAATTGTAACGATTGAATGTTTTATGAAAATTGTGGGAATCGAGGAAACGGGCAGATAATAGTGATGAGGGAAAAATTTTTAGTATTTAACTGGGCTTCGTGTTTATATTAATGGACCCACGGAAATTAGCGAGGTGAGGCAAATCTTTCAGTTTTGCTCGGGAATCATTCAATTATTTTCTTTAGAATATTACATTTCAATAGAATATTCCCACGGAAATCAGCCTATCGTCGAATTGCTAATCATTTTAAAACATGGGAGTTATTCTCTTGAATTTTCGGACGAACGAAAAATTTTCGAGCAGCTTGATTTTGAATTGAAGAAAATTCACATGCAGCTGTCACATGCAGAAAAGAAAATTGAAAATATTAAGAAAATAATTGAACATTGACACAATTACCGAACCCAGTCGATACACCATGAAGGATATTTTCCCTCCGGATTTCATTTCGACTCGGAAAATTTTTGTATCATGGCAAAAAAATAATTGGTCACATGAACATACATCCGAATGAAATATAAAAAGATCGAAAGATGAAATATTAAAATTTCAGAGTTGAAAATTAGTTATGGTAACTCAATAAATTGGAAAGTTGGATTGAAAAAATGGCAATGGTTCGATATGACAGGGAAAATTTCCACGAAAGAAAACTCACCCAGTGCATGCCGGTGGTAGGAGGGGCGCGTTCCTCATACACTCCCATCAGGGTGGCTGCTGTGGCGGGGTGATTCCCGCAAAGGGTGCGTGACGTTGATCCGGTCAAGGGAGAACCGGGGGACCTGGTTGTCAATAACCCTGAGATTGCGTAAGTCCCACACACCCCAAAAAATCAACGACACTTTAAAAATAATCTCCAACTACCACCGAGTAATCACCGCCGGTGACTCCACTATCCACGACTTGATGTCCCTCCAGGCAAACCATCCAGCAAATTCCCTCAAGACTCGATTTCCCTCAAGTCCTCCAGCCTCATGCTCTCCCCAGTTCTCTCAGAGTTCTCGAGACCACTCGAGCCTCATTCCTCGAAGATACCTGAAGTACTCGCGCACAGAAATAGTCACTCAAATAAAAAACAAATGGAAAAAAAAATTTTTTTCAAAACACCAGTCACAATCCGACGGCACGACACAACCCGACAATCACAATCTCAAATTGATATTTCCATTCATCGAAAAAAAAAAACCAAAAAAAAAATGAAAAAACCAAAAAAAAGAAAACACCTTCAACAGATCACCCCCGGGTCTTCACGATTGACGTCCAGCGTCAGAGTTATGGACGCACAAAAAATCTGGGAAAACCGGCGCGCACTAGCCGTCTGGAGTGAAGGAATAAAAAAAAAAAACAATTGTCGTTGTCACCGAAAACCCATGGGGCACCGCGCATGTGCCTTTAACCATTGACAAAAGACAGGTAAAAATTGGTTTATCCACTGGCAAGACAAAGACAAGTGGTTTGTGTGTGTGCCGAGCCGGAGAGACACGACAGGCGTTGTTGCGCCGCTCGGGCCGCGAAGTGGAGTGAGGGAATGAACCCGAGGATATCACCGGGAGGTAGCGCGCGCATGCATCAGCGCCCCCCCACGGTACCAGCGGGTTGGCAGGGAAAAAGTGGGGAAAGGCGGTGTTGGAGTTGTCAAATGACCGGCCCCTTTTACCCCTACCACACAAATACCGGTAACAGTGACTCCGCCTTTGCTGTCAATACACTTGCCATCTCCCCTTCTGTTGTCCCCCTCCCCAAGCTACCACCACCCCCTGGTCACCCTCTCCACCCTTTTTCGCAACAGTAATCTACCGCGATGCCACTGTAGAGGTAACCACCATCCAGACATCCTCTCGTCCCTCTCGTCCCACGCGACAACACTCTGACACTGCTGGAGTGTGTCCCTGTGGTGATCAAACAGAAAAAACCTCCTGGACCTCCAGGACCCATCAGAAATTCCACCAGGATGACAAACTGAAATGATTTCATCGACTCGTCGTAGACCCAGGGGTAGGTGGCACTGTCCAAATTTTCAAATTTGGTGCAGTTAATGAAAGATTGAAAACGAGATTACTAGATGAGTGGATATTTGGAAAGCCCCGTTTGAAAATCCAAGACAATTGCAAAAGTATCGAAAATCGGATGAAAATTATGTAAATGAAAGCTGAGTTGTTAAATTGATAATTCTCTCGAGGATTTCAACCAAAAGGGCATCACCAAACCACTTGAATCTGTTCAAATACTATATTCCGAAATGCATGGATGATTAGACCCGGGAGCCACACCGAAGCTCCCAAATTCAACATTTGTACTGAGTATTTAACAAGCGACCGCAAAATCGAACACATTGGAATTCCGGGGGCTTTATAAATGGCAGTGGTCCTCTCCGTCAATACCATGACTGTACTCGATAATATCAAATGGGATTTAAATGCCACCACCGATTTCCAGTGATTCTATAAACAATTGCGAGTAAATTAATCAGTCAATGTTTGGGTTTTGGTATTGGACGGGGGACTAGTGGCCGTGGAACACGCGATAGAGACTTAGACGCAATCCGATCAAAACGATAAGAATTCGTCTGGGGATTTGTTGGATGATGCAGGCATCTCTGCATCCATTAAAATCGGCGATCAGCCGAGCGAGCAGTCGCATCCGGCCACGCTTTCTGCGGCCCCCTACATTTTTTCGTCACTTTTCTTTACCAGAAATGGTTCGTAACGCCGATCGGATGAAGATCATTCACTTTTTCCATCTTCCCGATTTCAATTTCTCCGATCATCAATTTTTCATTCAACTTTTTACCGATCTTCCATCGGTATGTTCACCAACTTGGACTCCACCGATCCGGATTTCGGTCTGATATGAGTCGAAAAGTGGTTTATTTCAACAAGAAATGTCTCGAGTCAACGTCTCAGATAAATGGTTTATTTGTATTTATCTCGAGAAGAATTTCCTTTTAACACGCTGTACTGAATTCAAAAAAAAATTTCCTCATTTCAATAAAAGTTTTTTTTTTATTTAATCTAGAGTAAAACTCCAATTTTCCTGTATTACTCCGAATAATTTGTAAATCGCTAGGATAAAATGAATTTAGAGATGGATGTACTGATTTGAAAATTTCATGTCGTCAATTCGACGTGAAATAAATCGGTGGTTGGCACGAATCAATCCAACTTGATTGAAAACAACTTTTTTTGAATTCAGTTTCATTTGCCAAAAAACTTAAAAATTAGAAGCCCAGAATATCCAGAAACAGCAGACAGTACAGGCTTTATCCACGGGCAAAAACCGGTTTAACGTTGGGGTAAAGAGGGAAATCGTTTGAAAAAGACAAGAAGCCGATTCGCCTCTCAGAAACGAGAGGGATGGGGGGACACCGAAACGGGGATAGGACTGTCCTCCGTGATACAAAACAAAATAAAAATAAACGTCAAGCGGAAACCTGCGTAAATATACGTGAGCGATCGCGAGTGAACACTCCAACCACCAGAATTAAAAAACCGGTAATTCGATTCTCGAGATCTCCGACTCAATGAAGATTAAATTACAGTTTTTCTCAACGGCCAGTCGGTTTTTCTGCTACCTCATTGCATTTATCATCGGACATAAAGTCGTGGAAATTTGTGAAAACAAGATAAGTGGGTGGAGGGGGGAGTGGGGGAGAAAGTAATAGAGACTGTACGTGTAATGGAGATTTGAGAATTGAGCCCAGAGGGACAATGAACCTGCAGTCGTGGGGCGTCCAATTCCAGACATCCTATAAACTTCACAACATCTAACAGTACTGGAAACTATTCTGATAAAAAAATCCCAACAACTTTTTCCCCAGCTTCACGGAATATTTTAAATTCAAATTGTAATGGAGATATCAAAGATGAAAATTATCACCTGTGCATTCGAAATTCGAGAGCTGTCTCAATTTCACACCGGGGTAATCATTTTTCGGGGGAAATCTAGGGACTAGACCGTCATAATTTTCCGCCTTTCCCGGGTGTTGTCGATTCGAGTGCATTATAACTCATTCATGCCACGAGGGAATGCAGTCCCGGAGTATCGGGGAAAGATGAAAGGCGTGTTTTTGGAGAAAGATCTGAGAAAAGAGGGAAACTGGGAAGACTGTGCCTGCACCTCTCAGCAGGTAATACCGTTTACCCGATTTTCTCCACGGCCATAAACTTCATTTTTTTTTTCTCTCGGTTATGAATTATATGATGATAGACTGCGATTGTGGAAATAATTTAAAAATTAAAACCAAACCAAATGGGTTTCGAAAAATCAGGATTATTATAATTCAAAAATATATTTACTGAAATTTTTTGATGTTGCATGGGTTTTCGATAAATAATTAAACCGATGGTTGAAGTTGATTTTTCTGCTGAATCGGAATTTCTAGTCACGAATTTTCGTGCGATTCTAGTCGAATTGAAGAAAAAATGACCGGTGACAGCCGATTGCAGCTCGAAAAATGGGAAACTGGTATTTCCTCTTAGGTCACGGGCACAGACACTCCCTCCCCTGCTCGTAAATATTCTTGTTGAAAATGAAAAAAAAAAACGACAACGCTCCACCCCTGATGGACATTCATTTACCTATTCCTCGTACCTCGCTCCCCCCTATTGAGAAACTCCGCTGGACACTTCTTTTTTCGATGTCTTCATTGAAAAAAAAATGGGACAATACCGGAAAGGCGTACCGGTTACATGCGCACAACAACTATTTTACAATTGTCGTGTGGGGCTCAGCGTTTTCAAAACGGGGGTCGAGCGAAATGTGTTTCTGGGTCTTCCAGGGGTTATTGTGTTTTTGAGAATGGACTGGTGGTCAACTGGTTGTATTTTGCAAGAAGTGAACGGAACGGGAGATGTCGGCACGAAAAGAGAGATGAATTGTGAATGAATGTCTTCATATTCCCAAAATTTATAAAAAATTTTCCATTCTTTTTATACCCTTCAGAAATTTGATGTCAAGTTCAGGTATTTAAATGAATATAAAATATCGATTCTCCATTTTTAAATAACTCATATTATTTTCAATCATCCTATCAAATAAAATTTCACAAAATGCCCCATGAAAATCCTCGAGACCCGAAAGCAATTTTTCCAATCGTCACCTCGTGTTTATTACCGGTGATTCTCTGTAACAGTCCAGATGCCAACGATCCGCGCGATCAATTCCTCGTCACGTTTACATTCCCCCGTATTTATGTATCAACCGATTATTATTGAATATCGTGAAAATCGACCAATAAGATATTGAAACGTATAATCCCAGGGTTATTCATATGCAGCCGTATAAAGGACCCTGAACACAGAGGAGATCATGAAAACTGGAATTTTCAAACGAGAGAAGTTGCTAATGGCTCAGGATCTTGGTCACTCCGACGATAAAAATTCTCTTTACTATTTTTAATTATGAATCAAGTGGAATGCCCGTATTTTTACAGAGATAATTACACGAATTACTGACCCCTCCACACATTGCCAGACAACAAAAATCACAATAACCCCTAATGACCGGCCATAAAGTGCCATTTGGAGTGACAAAACGTCTAGGGGAAAAGAACGAGGATTAGAGGACGCGATGACGATTAGAGTCGATGCACCCCTCATTTAATTCTCAGCTATCCAGGATTACGTGGAGCTGATGGAGGGCAGGGAGGACTCGGGTGCAGGGGAAAAAAAATGTGAAATGGGCGAGATGCCGGGGCACCTGAGTCCTATCGAAGTGGTTGGCACAGCCCCAAGCGACTTTGGAGCGACGGACGGATATCCTCTTACAGACACGTGCGAGCCACGTGCCACAACCATTCGTCCAGGCCTCACCTCGCCTCTCCTTTTTCCCTTTCATGAGGAATCAGAGCAATCTGAGAGCATCAGGACCCATCCACCTATTAATTACGGAATCTCTGGTGGGACACATGCAGCAAACTCCAGGGAAAAAAATTTATTCGGAAAAATTCTACTACACGACCCTCCTGCAGGGATACGATTTTTGTAATTCATCTAAATTGAATGAAAAATATTCCACACCTCAGTACCACTTCGGGTAAAAAAAAAATTGTAATCGGAATATTTTTTTCCAAATGTTTAAAAAATTTCTGGAAAATTTTTTAGAATTTTTTTTTATGAAACAAAAAAAATCGGAAAACAAAACCATTTTATTTTTGGGACGGGTTTTGAAAAATTTTTCAAAAATTTAAATAGGAAAATCTTTTTTCCCATTTAAATTTCCCAAAAATATAATTGTTTTATTTCCCGAGTTTTTTTTGTTTCAAAAAAAAAATTTTGAAAAGATTTCCAGAAATTTTTTGAAAATTTGAAAAAAATATTCTGATTACAATTTTTTTTACCCGGGAAAAAAAAGATCATAATATGATCTGCTCATCTCCGATATGTTTTTTTCAGTTAATTGAGCCCGACAGAATTTTATTCATGATCCCGTTAAATTTTACTATTAAATCGCGGATTCATTCGATTCACAGAAAACTTCTGTGGAGAAGTCACATACGTCCATTA